GTAAGTAAAGCTTTCCCTGATCAAATTTAAGTTGGTCAAAGTGCAAATATTTACACGTCATACAGTCATAAAATGAGAATTTGTCTTTGAAAAATAGATAAATGTTAAAAAAATGTATTTACTAACAGAGAGTAGTTTTAGAGGAACTGAATTAATTGATAGGTTATTTATTTACAAATGTAGATAAAGAAGAAGACAATCTTGTATGAAAAAAGCATTAAAAATGTCAATAATCGAAGAATCGTGGCACCAGTAATCGAATCGAACCAAAAATCATTATAAACGAAGAATCGAAGCATCGAAGCTCCCATAATCGAAATCGAGTGAAGTACCCTTTTTGGAACACCCCTAATATTAACTATTTTATTTAAATTGTCAGTGTAGATATGCTTGTCAATACAAAGAAATGACTATCTTCTCATATTAGTTTCAAGATAAAGAATCTGCATTTCCAATAAGAATGGCTTTTTAAGAAAAATATGGAATTCTTTTTAGTTAACTCTGAATTTAGCAAAAAAATTTAAACAAAGACAGTCGTCAGATGTTATTGTTTACATAATGTTAATATTAAAGCAGAAATCCAGAGTTTTTTCTCAGAGGGCACCATCTAGTGGTGGATAATAATGTACTGCGCTTTAATTCCCTTTTTAGTGACCACAGCTTGAAGCAACACAAGCAACACACCTCATTAGTTAACGCACACCTCTAGCCAGCCAACAGAGCTAAAACATATAGCTTTATAATTACTACACATTATATAAACAAATATATTTAGAGAGAGAGCATGTCTAATGGTACTGGCTAATGCTGAGCTGCGTTCAATTGAAATTGCATGGGTCTCTATCAAAAGTTGTTTAAAATGAAGTATTTTTCTTCTCTGTTTGGATATATTTGTAGATTCTGTCTGTAGCAGTGCTGTCCAATCCTGGGCCTTGAGGTCCTCTATCTTACATGTTTTAGATCAGGGCTTCCCAAAATATTTTCTTTGAGAACCCCCTTGCTCGTGTCCAAGACGAGCCAGGATCCCCAACCCCAAGTCCTACACACAAACACACATTAAATGTGATCATTTACTATCTTTATACAGAGTTATAACTTCTATATGGAGTTCTGATTATACTGTAGGGTATGTTATTGGGATTTTATAAATGTATTTTTTTTTTTCAAATGAAATTTTTTTAACCAAACAACCTTAGCAAAGACAAAATTGTGGAGACCCCCTGCAAACTTGGGAACCCCTGTTTTAGATTGTCCTTTGCTCCAACACACAGAGGCTCAATCACTGGGTGATTAACAGGCTTCTATAGAAAGTGATACAGCTATTAAAGCAGTTTTTTGGGGGCAGGGAATAAAACTAGATTATGTAGGATAGTGAAGCTGAGTTGAGAATGTGTTTATTGAGAAGATTGTATCTGTTTATCAACATTTCAATTGGTTAAAACAATATATCAAACAGAAGTTTCTGGTAAACATTATTGTTCCTCCTCCAAAACATCCTGTCATTTTCCTATTTCCAAACAAATGTAACCTGATTATCTTTTATATTGTTTTTTTTAATCTGGATTGATACAATAATGGATGCTTAACGAGGTAGTGAAAGGTCATCCGTCCAAAGCCTGTCTTATAAATAAGACTTCTACTTGTTTATGCAGTAAAGACATTGAGCTGACTTTCATCCACCAAACCTCCACAGACAGTAATCACTGTGATTTAAAACGTTTTGCAAAAATGACAACATGAAAGCAATTTGGAGTTTAATTCCAGAGCAGCAGTGTGGTTATTCAAGAAAACCTGTTTTTACAGATTAGAAGAGTGATCCAAAAGAAGAAGTGTTCTGTCCCAGCCCTGTCACATTTACAAAGAAACCTTAAAACAGGCGTGGGGAACCCTGGTCCTAGAGGGCCGGTAGCCTGCATGTCTTTGCTCCAACACTTCTGATTCAGTGGTTGATTCACCTGTTCAGCAGCTCACCAGGCTCGCAGAAGCTTGTTAATCACCTGCTGATTGAAATCAGGTGTGTTGAAGCAGGGTTGAAACTAAAATATGGATAGTGGCCCTTGATGGACCAGGGTTCCCCAGCCCTGCCTTAAAAGCACCATTTTAACTCACTTTTAAAAAACCGACTCAATCGAACATGAAGTTGTGTGAAGTCAGATGCATTAAATTTTTCTTTGAGGTGTCCCACATGATGTTAAGGGAACTATATATTATCATCATTTGGAGAAAGCCAGAGGCTGAGATTTTCGGTGACTCAGAAGCCAAGGATTACAGACTTCTTTAGCTTCAGGATGGGAAACGGGCCAGATGGAAGCCACTCCATAGAGGAAAATTATGATGGCAAGCACGGTGAAGGTGCATGCACTGTGTACTTTTCTTTGGCAACATCACACTTGGTGTGACTGCCCTTTTATATGTGCTAGTTCCTTTTAAAATGTCTAAATGATTTAAGGGTTTATGTACGTTTTGCTCCCAACAGGAACAAAATCTTCCTGGCCAATCAACCGACCACCCGTTTAGTGAGGAAATACTCTGTAGGATTGATCACCACAACTCTTCTCATCAACTGTCATTCTCTTTGTTTTCATGGAGCGTTTGTAATCAGACACTGTGGGCTGCTTTTCCCTTCGAGACAGAGAGTTATAGTTAAGGGAACTACAGGGAAATTCCTCTGGAAAACCCAACGCCAAGCACATGGGTTGTCAGACTGTGGATGTGATTTATCTCCTGGCAGGGATGTGATCTTTAACACACAGCCAAACACAACATGAAAATTCTGAGAAAATCACACTGAAAGACCAGGATGACTGAGCCACAGCTAGAACCTGAGTCACACTGGAAAATCTTTGTAGTGACGTTAGGATGGTTTATGAGATTGTCTTCGTTCAGCCTGATGGAGCTCAAGGAAAATCTGTGTGTCGAGTCAACAGCTCTATGTCCAAGATGAGCTGATAATGTATCTGTGTCTACTTATTATGGATGAGCAATGTCGGCCCTCTTAGAGGAGATTGGTGGGATTACAGCTTATTTAAATATCTGCAGATTTCTGATATTGTTAGGCAGGATCTTCCTGTGAATGTTTAATAGCAAACATTTGTTGGTAGATGTGCCCTTCGCTTTAATTGTTTCAGTAAATTCAGAAGCAGAAAGAAATCTACTGTTAAAAGTCCCCAAATCTTCCATTTCTTTTTGCACTTGTTCATTTTCCCAGCTGCATAAACAGCAGCAGAAAATCTGAAGGCTAATTTAAAATCAGCACGACCTAACAATTCATGGTATCATTTCAAACTGGCTCTCTAGAGAGCAGAGGGAAAGCTATATCCTGCACATCATGAAAGGCTGGTCATTCATCTGCTCTGCCTTGATTTACATCCTTGCCTCGACCAGCTGCCAGAGCCATTTTGTGTTTGAGTGTTTCAAGAGCTTAGGGGGCGGGCTCTTGAAGGCGTTTTAGAAAAGGTCTGGGTTCTTTTAATGTGACAGAAATCCGAATTTGAGGATCTCTCCAGTGCCCTGCATACACACAAACAGCGTTTGCAATCGAGCCTAGCCTTGACCAAATGCTCATGTTTGTGGCCATAGATTGAAAGAAGAGGCATGCAGCCAAGTGTCAGCAGGTTCCTGTAAACATATATATAAATCCCTTATGCTCTCTCTGCCTTGTGCCAGAGGCAGTAGGAGAAAAATTAGGTCTGAGCTGTGACGTGTGTGTGTGTGCGTGCGTGCGTGGCGTGCGTGTGGGAGGGAGGGAGGGAAGAGATTGTAAGCCAGGGATGGTTATATCATTGAAAAGAGGAAATGACGGTGAGAGTGAAGGAGAGAGGGAAGAATGGGGGGTGAGCTAGAGAGGTTTCCTAAGCTAATAAAATGCTCGGGAGGATAGAAGCTGCCAGCCAGCATTCCTGTGTCATTAGATAAGTTAGCTCACTGCATCGTCCGGTTTCTCTGCAGTGCTGAAGTGGCAAGCTGAGGTCACCACCAGGGAGTAAAGGGGGATGGTGTGGCCAAAAAATTCTGAATATTTTTATTCATAAGCCTCTAAGGTTGTTTGGAAAAAAAATCACCATCATTTGTGGCTTTGCTTTAAAATGGTCCTCCACAATATAGACCCTTCTGTTTTACTGTTGTTTTCTAGCATTAAAACGTCTGTGATTCAGGATTTTGTAAGTAAAGGTTGCATATCAGAAAGACTTTAATACAATTAGAACATCTTTTTCGATAAATAAGTATATTTACATGTTAAAACTGCAGTGGCTATCTAGAATTAATTTTAAATTTTGAAAGGGAGATGAGGTGTCACATGAGGCACTGATCAGATTGGGTTGCTCACGAGTGCCACATAAGTCACACCAGCCAAATGGCTACACAGAAGCTTCCAAATGTGCCAGATTGCAGTAATACCGCCTTTCCTGCACACATTTACAGTCCGTCAAGCTGAAGCGTTTGCGCTGAATTAGTGGAACCCAGGAGCTTGTTGCTTATTTTTAAGAAGCTGCAGTACTCGTACTTTTCCCTGAAGTAGTAAATTTCCGAGCTACAGAATGAGACGGAGGGTTTCAAGGAAATATTTTCCTCAAAGTGATTCTCCTCTTGTGCTGTGAGATGAGTTATTCCAGTGGAAAAGGGTGCTCCGGTATCCTTCGTGTTTTCATTTCTTGCAGGGACCTTCTGTCTGTATCATATGCAGGTTTTACAATGCTGACTTCAGTTAGGTCTGTTCCAGGTCATTTAGGAGATATCAGTCAGCCTGGCCCCTATGGCTCTAATGTGTGAAGAAGATTATAAAACATGTTTGGCTTTTACAACTGTCATGCATATGACTGCCTTTGAGCAAAGATTTGTTCGCTTATGCAGCTGCTTCAACACTCGTTCTGTTAACGGCACAGAGGAAGGCAGCAAAATATGTTTTTAACCTCATAATAATCTTTTTTCATCTAGTTTTCTTTTTAATTTACTTTGTTGTAGTAGTTTCGGAATAATTGTTCAACTTTTCTGTCTCACAGGCATGCTTGTGGTCAATGTAACTTGGAGAAACAAGACGTATGTTGGCACCCTGTTAGACTGTACACGGCATGACTGGGCTCCCCCCAGGTAAGAACCATCCACTTCTCAGTACATTTCAAGTAGATAAAGCTGGCTTAGCATGCAATTAAATTTATTGTCAAGCATGGAAGCTGTAAATGTCAAGGTAAAAAAAAGAGTTCACAATTGCCACAAATCACTGATGCATACTTTATTTGAACTCATGGTGCAAAGTCTCTTAACCTTTTCCTATTCCGCGTGATATGAATTTGCTGCAACAGCTCAAGCATACACAGTCTAATGCACTGACTTTCCAGTGTGCCATTGGACCACCGAGTGCATGTTGGTCTTTATGTTGAGCCTGGAGAAACAGGATTCATTGGCAAGCAGCTGATGTCTCAGGAGGCAGCAGTGGAAATAGAAAGCAACTCTAACAAGCCAGATTGCAGAATCCAATTATTGGTCTAAGAGCTTTTTTTCCTCAACACTGGATAACATTCTCCATCACAAAGGCTGCAGTTTCTAAGCTGAGTCTGATGACAAAAGCATGAGGTGTTTATTTAGCTATATGTTTGCAAATACACAGAAAGTATGTCAAAAATAGATGGGATGTGTAAAAACTACATTGGCCAACACTAGCTTTAATTTAAAACCTTGTACATAAATGTACATACATGTCTGTATTTCAAAGGGATGTTTAAGTGCACCAAGAAGAAAAAAATAATCCAGATTAAATCAGTTTTAATGGAAAACAAGTAGATGCTATACCCCACTAATACATCACCATGATGCTTAGTTCATAAGGTTTGTTGAGTTGCATTTGCACCAAGGTTGTTTTACTGTTTGCAGCCTGTCTTCTTTCAGGATACATTGTAAATTATTCAGAAATCCATCAGAGTATAAACTTGGTCTTGTAACCAGTCTAAATTCCTGTAGCACTGTCAGACTACAGATGTATTCACATACCCCTGCTTAGGCTGAAATTGTTTGGAGAGGCTCTTAAGAAGCCGTGAGTCATACCAACTCTGGGTTTGACTTTGTCACAGACTGCAAACCTTCACTGCTGTGCAGAAAGGTTATTACATTACTGTTATAGAGAGATAAAGCCTAATCACTCTTTCAAGTGTTTAAGTGACTGCAGAGAGGAGCAAGAATTACAATATGGCTGTTTGTTCAGATGATTTTTACTCGTTCACATTGGAAAGTTTTTTTTAGAGCATTCATACTTAAGATTAGTACATTGCAAAAGAGCAGAGATGGAGCAATTGTGTTTTTATGTTAATATAATTGCTATTGTTCCCTACAAACTCATTAAACACACACAACAATTGTCATTGTTGGCCAAATTTGGATCATAGTTCCTAGTAATTCAATGCAATTTAAGTTTCCTGATAAAGTAACAAACTGTTTTCTTTACACTAGTGTGCATTAGTGTGAAGACGTGTCTGTTAAAGATGTAAACCTCTGGAATAGTTCCCCGGAAAATATTAGATTATGTTGTAATATAGTTGCTTTTAAGAGATGTTAGAAATGTAATGTTATTTTACGTTGCAGTAAGGAACACTAAGTTGACTTGAATTATTCTTGGATCCTTCTGTTTTCCTTTTTGTGGCATGAAGAAAATTTATGGTCACTGAATGCATTGTTGTTTTAGTGTTTAGTTTAATCTTCTAAGGTAAAATGGGGAAGTGGTACACATTTGAAACTTTTCTCTTCTACGTACAACCTTTTGGTTATATAGTTTACTTGAAAGCACTTGTTTGTTTTTTACCAAAAGAAAATCAGTTAATTCATTTCAATTCATTTCAAGCAAAATGCTTATTGATAATCATTGGAAATGACTAAACCCCCTGAGACCCAAATTTGTATTTGGTGTGATTTAAAAGAAAAAAAAAACAATACTAGCTATTACAGCTTATGCAACAGCTCTCATAAAGATGAACTAAATATTACTTAGATACAAAATGATTAAATAAAAATGTTGACAAATTTCCTTAAAAAATAAAGAAAATTAAATTTAAATTTAAAGTCAATATCAAGATTCTCTAAATTAGAAAAAAGCTATAAGTTGAAGAGAATAAAATATTATAGTGCAAGAAGCCAATGGCCTCATATGCGGACCAAGGCTGAATGATTAATTGCGTTTGCAATTATATTGCAATGTGACAAAATGAGATTTTCTAATTGCAAAGGCTGCGATTTGACTGGTTGCAAGATCTGGGAAAGTCATGTGAATTGCGAGCACCGTAAAAAAAAAAGGCAGGGAGAGAAGAAAATGTTGCGCTTTCACCTGTTCTAAAATGGCCTCGGGCTCAACAGAATCTTACTCTGCACAAAGTGTGGTACAAAAGAGGAATAGCACATCAGTTGTGTGGAATTATTTTGGCTATAAAAACCAAGATGCTGTGCAACGTCTTGTATTGTGCAGAACCAGCTACTGTTGCTACCTCACGAGGTAACACTACAAACCTTTGTCAACACCTCAAAAAAAAAATCACACCACCATATACGAGAGTTGCATGGCTAAATTGCTAGCCGCCAGCGCTTCAACTTTCAGTAAACAAACTTTCAGCTGACAGATATCGCTGAGAGAGCTGTATATGGATAATTTATGTATAATAAATCTGATATTGTTTATGATAATACATTGATGAAATTTTTTATAATTCCTTGCGTTAGTTGAAAATTATGAGAACCCCCCCCCCCCCCCCCCCCCCCCCCCCCCGAGAAAATTATGACAAATTAAATTGCAGTTGCAATATTGAAGAAAAAAATCGCAATTAAATTATTTTCCAAAATTGATCGGCCCTAATGTGGTCACAGGGTCTCGAGGATAATAATTGTTTTGAGAATATGTTGACAACTGGAGTAACACAGGTTTTTAGATGTGGTTTTGATTGAGTTAAGAAATGAACTAAAATGACTTCAGAGAACATTACAGCAGAGAAATGGCTGTCTTGGTTTGTAGTTAATAATGCTAATGAAAGCGCCATGGCTTTGCATTACACAAGTGATGTTGTCACATTCTAATTACTCACTATCATGTCATTACACAAAAGACAAAATGATTACATTATTAATTAGATTCATTGTTTGGGTTTCTTGACAGCCATACATTTTTGCTTTGGAATAAATAAAAAATTTAGATGGCTTTTTCTATTTTCTAAATATGTTAGTTAGCCAATCTTAATTTCCTTTACACAGTTGTAGAATTTAAACTAACATATTGTACTGAAATTAAGCATTGCTACAGTTACATGACTAATGCTTCTGTATATTTTAACACAATTACAGATTTTGTGAGTCACCCACAAGTGATCTGGAAATGAGAAATGGTCGTGGTCGGGGAAAGCGAATGAGACCGAACAGTAACACTCCAATCAATGAGAACAGCAACTCATCAGACAGTAAGGGCACCACCAACAATAAGACACGTGCTGCCTCTAATAGCAAGGGTCGGCGGGGCAGCCAGACACCATCAGAGCGCCGCACCCCACCAAACAGTAACACAGAGGACATTAAGGCCAGTCCGTCCTCAGTTGGAAAACGCAAGACCAAACCAGCCTCAGACATGGAGCCCAACTCCAGCTCGGAGGACACCAAAGGAAACAAACGCATGCGGACAAACTCAAACGGTGGAGGCATGGGACCAACAGGTCTACCAATGCCTTCTGTTAAGTCTGAGCCACTTCCACCTTCCCTTGATCGTACCTGCCCATCTCCAGTTCTTATTGACTGTCCACATCCTAACTGCAACAAGAAGTACAAGCACATTAATGGTCTCAAGTACCACCAAGCCCGTGCCCACAATGATGATGACATAAAGTTGGACTTAGATGGAGACAGTGAATATGGAGAGGACTCCACTCTCCACCCTGAACCAGGAAACTGCAATGGAGCATCTATTTCCCAGAAAGGATGTTTGTCACCAGCACGTTCTGTTACTCCAAAAGGCAGGAACTTTGACGCTCAAAGTCCATCTCCATCTCCTAGCAAGTTTGGTTCGAAGCAAAGTAAAAAGAAAATTGCCGAGACAGATCCAGACACAGGAGGTACACCAATGGATGGCTGTGAGGATGGGCCATGCCTTACTGATGAGGCCAGTAACGATGGACTAGATGATAAGAGAGGATCAGATAAGTCTAAAAAGGCTAGCACTGGTACAAAAATGGATAAAATTTCCCAGAAAAACATGAAGTCACCGCGTCCGATAGGCCCTGCCCCCACAGCAGCTCAGCAAATGTATCCTTTTCCTCCTGGGAACCCAAATTCCTCTCCAGCCCCAATGATTCAAGGAATACCCAAGAGTCCACAAATGAAAGGCACACAGCCTAAACCCCCTGCTATTGGAGATCCTGCTTCAGGTAGCTCCAAAGATAAAAAGAAAAAAGACAAAAAGAAAAAAGATGGTGGGAAGGATGCAGACAGCCCTAAACCCTCAGTAAAGGGTGTGAAATTAGAGGAAGGAAAGATTCCTTACTCTGAACCTTGTGATCAAGTGAACAAGGGAGATGGCCTCCTCAATGGTTCCTCAGATCCTCATCAGAGTCGCTTGGCCAGTATCAAGGCTGAGGCTGACAAGATTTACAGCTTTTCTGACAATGCTCCAAGTCCATCAATTGGTGTTGCCAGTCGAATAGATGGCAGTGGGATGCCACAGCCTCTCACACCACTTCATGTGGTCAACCAGAATGGTGCTGACAATTCTTCAGTCAAGACCAATAGTCCAGCATATTCAGACATTTCAGATGCTGGTGAAGATGGTGAAGGGAAACTAGAAGGTGTCAAAGTCAGGACAGAGGACCAGGGCATTAGGGAAAGTGTCAAAAAAGCACTTTTCCCAAACCAGACACCCAACAAAGATTCCCCGTACTATACCAGTTATGAAACTTACTACTCGCCTAATTACGTGAACCCCAGTCCTGGAGGGCAAAATCCAGGTGCAACAGTGGCAGAAGGTCAAGCCAAGATAAAGAGAGACGATGAACATGACCAAGGTGAGGAAAAAGTAAAGGTAGAAGTTCTTGAAGATCGGAAACCTGACACCAGTGTTTCTGGCCAACAACCGCAACAACCCTCAGTCATTCAGCAACGATCAAACATGTACATGCAACCTCTTTACTACAACCAGTATGCATATGTCCCCCCTTATGCATACAGCCCTGATCAAGCCTATCATAACCACTTCATGAACACCAACCCAACATACCGGCAACAGTATGAGGATCGGCAGCGACAGATGGCTGAGCAACATCGTGCTGCTGAAAAAAAATCAGACATGGTGATGAAAGAACGAGAAGCTTCCTTGAAAGAAGAGTGGAAACAAAAGAGCCCAATGCCACCAAGCCTCTCCAAAGCTTCGAGTCAGTCAGACCTTGGGAAGGTGGCACAGCCTCCTAGCAAATCCAGGGATTCACCCTCTGAAGTATCTTGTAAATCCATTGGAAGCATAAAGGGAGAGGATTCAAAGTCCCAGCAAGCTGAGGGGCTGAAGATGAAACTGACTGAAGCAGGACACCATGGAAAGGAAGATGCCTTGCAAACTCTGGAGTCCAGAGGTCAGGCAGGCATAGAGCAGTGGTACAGACAGGTAGGTACCAATATTAAATAACATTAAAATATTTGCATATAGGCCTGTGATCAAACTGTTTTGTAAGTTCAAATTAATTTCAGCATATCACTACAGGCTTCTGTTAACTTACTTTCTTGTCCTCAGCAGTACCCTGAGAGCCAGAAACTGCAAGCAGAGGATGAACACCAGCAACAACAACATCGTAGAAAAGATGAAAGGGAGAGAGAGAGAAAATTAAAGGAAGAAAGGCCCAGGGCAAAAGACAGTCAAAGTGGATCCAAGGAGGACGGCAAAGATGTTGGTGATCCTAGAATTACTTCTGAAGATCATCGAGCCATGTGCAAAGACTCTCGTTCCAACCCCCACATGCAGTTCACATCACCACTAGCACAGCATCAAGGCTACTTGCCCTATATGCATGGTTACCCCTATGGACAAGGCTATGACCCTAACCACCCTGGATACAGGAGCATGCCCTCAGTCATGATGCCCAACTACCCAGGTAGAACGATTCATATCATGTTGTAACACGTAAACAGATTTTGTGCAGCCATTTTGGTTTGTTTTGTTAACTTGACATACGTTTTACTTGCAATTTCCCAGAGTGAAAATTAGAGCCTAATGGTCTATCATTTTCTGATCAAAATTACGATTTTTAACATAATTATATAATCGTCAAATATGCAGTTTTATTGCAGGTCTCCTGGCCTACCCAGGATCTGTTGTGTCAACAATTTTACACATTCAGGGTTTCTCCAAAGTTTTAAGTGTTATGACAGTAGCAGTTAGTACCGGCAGTGGAGTGGGAGGAATGGGAGCATTTGTTCATTTTTCTTTTGGGATTTTTTTCGTGGTGTTACTGTGGCCAATATTATTAATGGCTGTGGTAATCGGTCTCTGTCACTCAATTTCTGTACCTCACTCAAAACCATTCGTGAGACAAATATTTTGACCCTAAAGCCTAATTTTATACTTCTCCATCAGCTCCACAAGGGAGAGACACACACACACGCGCACGGACAAAGACGTTTTGCTCTCGGACTTCTCCGTCTCCTGGGGAGTGTTGCAAAGCATTTCCCTGCCAGGACAACAGAGGGCGTAGTGCTGTTCTGTGGTATCCTGTCATGTATCCGATCCAAGATAGCGTAGTTAATCATGTTGTGCATGAAGTATAGTTTATTGCACCAGGATGCAGCTGCTTCAATATACCCATCATTAGCTTCAAGTTTGAAGTGTGATCTGTTATGTGCCATCTAAAAATGAAGACAAGATGATAGCTTAAACAACACAGGTCTCATTAGGGCTGAACGATCTATTGTTTTTGGACCAAAATTGCAATTTCAAACAGCACGATCACATGACCGTCTGGTCCAAGATCAGTTCTGTAACTTTTTTTTTTTTACATCCGGTGTTTTCCCCCTGAGTTATGGCGGCGGCAAAAGCCAGCGCGGGGGAGGGGGGTGGGGTGTACCGTCCAGAGCCGAGCCCAACTCCACAGCTGACTGAGCTGCATGTTCAGGTTATTTTCCCTGTTTTATGTTTCCACACACAGCGCTGCTAGAGCCGATAATAACGGCACCGTAGGTGAATCCGGGACAGAGAGAACGTAGTCGAGTAAGGGAGAGAGAGACTCTTCCCACATCGGAACAGGTTCAGGCTGATTTCTAAAGCTTGGTTTATGCTTCATCAGCCCGAGTGCGGAGTCGCACAGTTGACTTGAAAGCTCAACTTCTCTTTTCAAAATGGTTTGAATGTTTCTGATGGCACACGTTAATTCAAACAAGCTAAGGTGTCAGAATGTGTCCCTCTCTCTCACGGAGCTGACGTTTTAGTGAGGAAAAACTATCAGACGGCTTCGAAAAACGTGCCTCCAGCCTGCCTTGGTAATGCAGGGAAAACTGCATTTTTTGTTATTTAATACATTTAAAAGCTATTTCTACCTACAGATTTCCTCCATGCATTTTTGGAGTAGAACAAGAACATGTTTTTGTAAAGCTCCTCTCTAGATAAAAATCACAAGTACAAGTTGCTTCACAAACGCATAAAAGTATTTTAAAAAAGATAATGGGAGAAAATATTAATAGCTTTAACTGTTTTTGTTGTATGATTAATGTGAATGATAATCAATTTCCCTCTGGGATTAATAAAGTATTTTTGAATTTGAATTAGTTGTACTAGATTAGAATCTAGACCATCTTTTCACTTAATCTAAAGAATGGCTTGGCAGGCTAGTGTTGGACCTTTGTTTGCAGAAAATCGTGAATTGAACCGAAATCACAATGTCTGCTTGAAAAATAGCAATTCAATCTTTTCCTAAAATCATTCAGCCCTGGGTCTCATGTTTGTCACCAAGTTCAAAATTGCCTCGGTCAGAACGCTTGCTTGCTGAGGTGTGCAGGTTGGCTTGTTAACAAATTTGTCTATTGTAGAGGAGCGCTTTTTTACACTGCACCTGTCTGCACAGAAAGGCAGACAGGTGCTGTGGTGCTGTAGCAGACAAGATTAAAAAAACCTTTACTTTATAGAATAAATGACGTTATTAAATTTATTGTGAATTATTTTGTTTGTTGACGTCATCGTGACGAATCGACTAATCATGGCAGCACTACTCTGCATACATGTTGCTTGTTAATATATACATTTGAAAACAATTCTGACCTTCAGTTTTTATCCAGACGTTATTAGAGTAATAGCTTCCAATTTTTTGATGGTAGGATGTTACTTCTATCGTGTTTGTAAATGTTAATGTACATTATGAATATTGTGCTGAAGTTTAATTTAAAGAAAATCATTAATTGAATTTCCGCCTGAAAGATCACAGTCCAACCTTTTCTTAAAACTGTCCCTCTTGATCAAACAGATTAGCATAATCACTAATGAAGATGTAGACTTTGGCTGTATTTAATTATTTGTACAATGATCAATGCGGAGTAGCAATGATTACGGCCCGGTTTTGCGTGCATTACAGTTTGAACACTCATTGGAAATGTATGTTAGCAAAACACGAAGCCTTTTATCATGAAGGAGTGAAAACATTTGTGGAAAAATAGTGTTGTATAGCTTTTTATTGACCCGAAAGCAACATGAAACAAATTTCAGTCCTTTGTCGGAGCATGTTGGGGTGTTAGAGCATGAGAATCGTAACATGAATATTTCAGGTTAGTGAAGGTCTGATTTGTTTGACCAAACCGTGTTTCTGAGGAGAATCAGGTTGAATATATTCATATAAATAATTGCTGAAAGGACAAGCTCCCTTCTGTTTTATATCGTAAGCTGTTGAAGACACCGCTTAGTGATCGAATTTGTGTTGAAATGTAAATTCCTGGAATGTCTGAAATATTTAACCTTGAGACTATAGTCCACGTGTGTTGTAAATTAGAAGCATAGAAATTCACATAAACCGCCATGTCAACCACTTTTCTTTATGACTTGTAGGTTCTTATCTACCTGGAGGTTATCCATTTTCTACTTACGGGGGTAAAATAGCTGGTGAGGAGGGCAACGAGAAATCTCGTGCTAGCCCTACCGTCACTAAAACAGCAACAGACCCCAAAGCTCTGGATCTCCTGCATCAGTGCGCCAGCCAGTACAAGAGCAAATCCCCCACTGTGGGCGACAAGCCGCCCCACGACAGGGAAAGGGAGCAGGACCGAGGTATTCCCGGAGACCGAGAAAGGGAGCGAGAGAGGGACAGAGACAGAGATGTGGACCGACCACGCTCCTCACCCTCCCAGCGCATCATGCCCTCTCACCACCACCTGGGATACCCCTTGCTCTCAGGGCAATACGACCTGTCCTACTCCACAGGTGAGTCAGTCCTATCATCATTCTTTCCTGCATACTAAACATTACGTTTATTTCAAAATACTTGACCTTTTGAATTATAGCAGAAGTCAAGAAACTACCCAAAATACTTAAAAATAGCAGGGATTTTAGCAAAATATGGATGTTGAAACAGCACACAAGCCTACTGAGTGTTCACATAAAAGGCAAACGCAGGTGTCTGGAGATAATTTGATAAACAATGCACACACTGTAACTGCAGTTTAAAATAGCCGTGGTTGTGATATGAGTTCTAGCACAGATGCATATCCTGTAACATGTTTTTGTTGTCCTGGGCTTATTTGTGTAGAAGACCCCAGGGCATCCTGCTGGATTTTTCAGTTACATTTATGCTGTGAAATCAAAGAGAAACCAAATCATGTCTAAACAGAGCCCTGGTTTCTCCGCTGCAGCCCAGCACAATATGCACTGCAGCTTTTAGCCCCTCAGCTCATCCATCCTAAGTAGGTCCTCTGAGGACAAGTGGATCACAGTGTTGATAAAGGGGATGTTGAATGAGTCTACATTACAAAAAAACACTGCAGCCTGCAGCGACACCCAGTGGGAAGTCCTTTGAATTGCAGTTTTTCTGAAACCAGATTTTACCTCTCAGCTTGTTGCTGGTGCACATTTCCTTTGAGAGCCCGCTTTCATGGGCCCGGCTTTATTTTGCTGGGATGATAAAATTAAGCTATGTTATATAAAGATACAACACCTCCAGGAAAAGACTTGTTTATTGCCTGGTTTTAAAATTAAACCAAAAATGTCAAAAAGAATAACAATCAAGCAAAAATAAAAAGCTCTTGAAAACAGGTCAAATGTATTTTACAATTAGGTTATAGATTACAGGATTGTGTGATTTAATAGAAGCTTATTTTTGTTATTGTCGTCTCAGTGATTTGTTAACGATTGTGTGTGTGTGTGTGTCCGTCCTAGGGAAACCTGACCGTCACACCTCAACCCTGCAGAGATTCATGTGACTGGCTCACATGAGAGCAACATCTTCTGGTTGTTACCTTTTAGACATCAGTTGAATGGTGTTTTTATCTTTATTTTTATTTTATTTTTTCTGCCCCAAGGCAAGGCAGTATGTTGTTTTTTTCCCTTCCCCTTGTAAAAGACCCTAGATTTTCCATCCATGAACTGTAACACGACTGAAAGTAATCCAGGTTCAAAGCCATCGCTCTGCCCCACCATGCAGAGGAAACACCGACCCGCTGACTATCTAGTCCTTGCACTGTCAACAAAAACAATGCAAAAAGAGACTATTGGACTGTCAGAACAGCTTCTCTTGTTTAGTTTTATTTTTTCTGACTGCATTGTTTCTTTTGTCACGCAGAACGAACTTGGCGGGGGGTTGGGGGAAGTGGGGTGGCTGATGGGGAAGAGGAGTCAACTAAAGACTGGCTTTTTTATGCCGTGAAGCGACAGTATATCCTAAACTTGACAAATGTTCGACTATGTTTAGTGGGGAGAGGGAATATGGCAACAGCTGCTTTCTTCAGAGACAAGAGCCTGAGACTGAAGTTTTTCATCGTCATCAGTTCCCATCTTTGTTTTCTGTTCTCTTTAAGTGAACTCTCACGCCTTGTTTCAGGGATGATGTCACGTTTTGTGAAGGGACCGCGCACACCTCAAAGGAAAATAAACACTATTCATGTTTTCTTTTCACGGTAACACTCAAGTTCTTTCACGTCGTCATGTTCATCTTTGAATGTGTCTCATGCTGGTTTTGGTCCTGTTTTTGTTTTTTGCATCGATGAGGGACCGTATCGGTCTTTACGGTCAAACGGTGAAGCCACATCAACAAGCGATGAGTTCACAAGGCTTCGTCATCGCCGCATCAGGGCACACTTGTGGGTTTCTGTGTTTTTACTCTGATTGTGCTTCTTTCACTTTGATTGTTTCCTGTAAACAATGTGAAATTTGGCTCCTGTATTTTTGGCTGTAATATAGACTTTTATATTACCTTTATGTGCATAAATGTTTGTATTTATTCAAGCATGTAACTGTTTTAAAAAACTGTTGAATAGCTACCCAGCTATGTGCGAAGATCATCACACACACTTGCTGCAGGGTCCCTGGATGTCTTTTGTGCTTTTTTTTTTTTTTTTTGCAATATAGGCTTTAAGTGTTCGCTCACATCTTCCTGCATCCCAACATTGTCTGCGTAGGTAAACTTGTACTCGCACACACACACACACACACGCACCTAAAGTCCATCTTTGCAAACATTGAACTGCTAATCTGGTCAGAAGACGTGAAAACAGAAAGGTCCAAGTGGGACTCCTAAGGCTAATGTTCACTAGCAGTCTCTCTGTGCTCCGCTTGCTCATGTGGCTTCACCTTAACCTCCAGTCAGTCAAACTGTTAGCATGTTGGTTTTTCTTCGAGGAAAACATTGGTTGTTGAGCTCAGTGATTTATTAAAGTGCATGTGACGACCGAGCTGTTCCTACACAACAAGCGTTCAGATGCTGACGGGTGAATTTCGATAAAAATGGCGCATGAGGCAGTGAAAATCTAACAGAGTGAAATAAGACCTCGACCATGCACACACGGCTGAAGGAGGGAAGCCTCAGTGTTTCCCAGCAGCATCATGCTCCAAGCTTTCAGCTGGATCTTAAAACAGGTGAGCCCTCTGCGTATTTTTACACTCTGATAAACTTTAAATCGACACAAAAAGCCTCCGTTAGCATGCCCTGAGCTACCAGGAGGTTCTCTCTTGGCTTCAAATTACAGTCCTCTCTAGCTACAGGGGATTTCACTGTTTTCACAGATTTTAGATTGTAGGGTTTAAAAAGCACATTTTCTGCTCTGATTTGGAAATGTTCTGGATGTTCATTCATACCATTCTGTTATAGGTTGCGTGCCGAGTCTTAATGTTCCTTTGAAACATGACAGAACGACCATTTTGTCATCACGTGCTGTTATGATTTTAGTTCTACAAACACGTGTACTTTATAAGTTTTTCATCGAGCCCCCGAAGCATCAAGTCTGGATGTTCGCCGAGACGTTTCTCATGATTCAGAAACTGGAGCTTTTCATGTTGAGGCTCATGGACATTCCAAGTGAACAAGTTGCCAGTTTCTTGTCCCATAAAAGCTCACAAGATGGTATATATTTTGACTTTGTGCGCATTTTAAAGAAGAGTGGCTGACGCGAATAAGCTGAATGTGGTGGTGTGTGACTTGTACTTAATCTGTAAGGGTAATCTAGGCAGCTGCGATGTTGTCATTAAAGTCAGTGGGTTTTAGTACCAGCAGACTGCATACAGTGCATATAGTTTTATCAGACAATGGTTGTGACAAGTGCATTTGTTCTCTCTCTGAGAGTAGTGTTATCTCAGTAGTAAGCAAAGCCCAGTGAAAATCATTTATTCTAAAAGTGTATGAAAAGCCAGAAACGTAATGTTTGCTATCAACATATTGGAAAGTGCTTGGCTCTTGTATTTTGCAGGACTGTATTTGTTTCATGGTGAAGAGTATATTTATTGGCCAGCAGTTGTCTCAATTGGTGCCTAGTCGAACATTCTTCTGTGAAAACAGAGACCCTTGCTCGTTTGTCCTTTCCTAACCCACCTCCTGTCACACACACACACACACACACACACACCCCTCACCTAACCCACACCCAACCCCCCTCCAAAGTACCAAAACTGGTGCTTGCAAGGATGTTTACAATGTCTTCATTTTGTTTCTGTGTGAGAAAATTCAGAACTCTTCTCCCTCTCCTCTGTTCACTTTCCCTTCAAGAGTTTGTGTAAAGTGTACATTACCATGGTTCTTTTTTATACAATACTCTGTAACTTGCCTTTGTAAATTTGGGCTGGAAAAAAAAATAAATCTTTTTATGAGACAATCTGTCCTGGGAACTGCTCAATGGCTTCTTCTCTCTGTTGGTGCCATGGCGTTTGGATGGTAACGCAACCAGTCTATGGAAATGGTCTAACAAGTGTAGACCCTTTGCACTGATGTCCCCTGATCATGTGGGTCCACCATAAAGAACAGCAAAAGCATAATCAACAATGAGCAAACCAAGTATTGAACAAAGGTAAAAGTTGTGTCTGAGGTTGTTTCTTTTTGTTTAGTTTATTTGCAATGTTTAGCATGGCTTCAACTGGTTCAAGCCAGTTATCAGAAGTAAAAGCACACTTAGAAGGAGCAACAGTGAATTATGGGAGTATTGAACAGAGAGGGCAACTGATGTCCAGTTTAGCCTGGTTTCTACTGGTTCAAGCCCAGTTCACTAGTGGGAAGATAGGTGGGGCTCAGAGTTGTCGATTTTGCCTGAATTCACTCCGCTGGATTTATAACATTGTGATAAACAGCATTTCACTTTTTATGTTCTTTGCTTCTCTTCAGTTTCCATTGGGTTTTTTTTGTTTTTGTTTTTGTTTAATCCACAGCGAAGCAGCGTTTTTTACACGAATGTTCTGACGGTTTCTGCATCACGCAGTCACCATCTTCAGAGCCTCGCCAGTGTTGGCGGCATAACTTCCACTGTTTAGCTGCGGGCGGTAGGGGAGGATGTCACCCTCTACTACCCGTGCCTTCCCACGCCCTTTGAATGATCCAGCATCTAAACTACTCCATCCTTTTTCATGGTCTAGGGTCCTCGTCTCCATAAAGTTTCACTTTACACTGGAGCTGGTTTTGAAGAAAAAAAGGTCCAGTTCCCCACCAGTTGTTGCTGCTAGCTGGGTCACCGGGTTCAGCTGCTACTCTGACTCTGAACCGACACAAGATATCTCATAACGGTGACGGTCATCATTCTAAATAATGTAAATTTAACACGTAATCCTAGAATGGAACGATATAATAAATTTTCACCACGTTCTCCATGGTGAAATATAGTATCAATACCAACTAAGTAACAAACACATCACATTTATCATTTCAGGTCCATTCCACTCAGCTCCTCTCTTCCTCATGAAATATGACCGTTAATCTTACCTGGTAAACCATGTTTGCTGCAAAGCTGAAAATACTTTTAGTGCTGCTAGTCCGTTACGGCTGAGGCTCTTCTTCAGTCTCCATCAGTTATAAAAAAAAAAAAATGAAATTGGTGAGTTTACACCCTTGTCTGTTAGTGCAGCCAACCACACAGCAAACTGTTGCCATCTTACTGTGAAGTGATAAAAGGAGTTTCAACATGTGTAAACAGTCTTTCTGCCATCCACCATGGCAAAGGGGGCGGTCCTATGAGCAGCGTGACGTCACACACAAAGGGTCAACATCAGCATTCTGATATTTGTGCAGTTGTTACAAGTTTTCATGGGTGAAGACATTTTTACCTTGCAGAAAACCGTTTTGAGATATTTGATCTCAAAGCTCAGATAAGCGTCCAAATAAAAAGGTGTAGAAATCTTTCTTTCATGGCAGTGTTTTAAACCCGGATCACATGTACAGAAATGGAGTTTTAGCTGTTTTGGTAAAATCTTCATTACATTTTGTCAGATCTCAGCGTATCACAAGATTGCATGTGATCTGTTGGGGATGACACCCAGTGACTACAGCAAAACGGTTAGTTTTTTATTTTTAAATTATGTGTAAACTTGACTGGGTTACAGCCATTTTTGAATTTTTTAACACCAGCTGGCTGCAGTCACAGTAGACAAACATTCAGTATATGTATTCCAAGTGTTTTCTCAGGTATTTCACTAATAGACTCAGACCCTTTCAGGGGTAGGAGATCATTCATTTTGCACATCCTTGAATATTTTCCTAGAAGAGAGCTGCAGAGTGCGCGGTCACATGTGACCACATGAGAGCAGTGTCTCTTAAAGAGGCCAGGTCCAGTCTGAGTCTGTGTCAGAGTTGTACATCAGCACCTGAGGAGGACCGGAACAGCTCCAACATACAGGAAGTAGATTTGGAGAAAATATTACTGATAAAACACAAAGATGCAGTCGTCCTTTCAAACATGTTTTGACCAAACTGGGCTCTACTTAATCTGAATTCATCATAAACAGAATCTGTACAAGGATTTTAGAAAACACATGTATCAGTTAAGGGGTTGGGGACAATTATAGTTTTAAATCTCTTTACGGATTTTCTGGAAAAATCATCAGTTAAATAACAAATGGGAGCGAAAACTCCTGATTAGTTGCAGCTCTGCAGCATGTTTTCACATTCATGTCTGACGGAGTTTCTTGTGGCGTTTGCTTGTGTAAAGCAGAAGGGATATTTTTAACTGCCCCTAATGCCCCACAACGCTGTGCATTAGTAGAACGCAACATCAGTGGCGGTGAGCGATTACGCTGTGGATGATTTTGTTGAGTGTAAATGTGAAATCTGATTATCCTCCATGCTCTCAGCTGGGTGGAGGGAGGAGGAGAGACTCAGAGGGAGGGGTTAAGATAGCAAAGTGCTGAGCCAATGGCTTTTCCACTGAGCAGCTGGCTGGCATCAGGACAGGACAGGCCGCTCACAGGAAGGATACCTGGAGGACGCCTCATACCCCGACTCCTTGTAGGACGCTGAGGGTGACTTCCAGGAGGTGTTCATGGGATGCACTATCTACGCAGCCAGCCCTAAGGCCCTGCCTGCTGACGAGGCCCGAGGCCAGGACCGTTACTGCCAGCTGCCCCCCTACAGCCACGCTTATGGGAACTGCAGTCAGAGGATAGCAGCCTGCAGAGCCAGGTCAGTGAACGCAGCACAGGAAGTGCACTGAGGGCATTTAAAGGATGCTTCACCTGGACCAAAGAGCAGGCTGATTGTGTAGTATCTTTTATTTGCAGGTCATGTGTTTAAAAACTGAACAGGTAGAGCGGTGCTGGGTGCTAGTGAAGTCTGAGAGTCAGAGCTTCTCATCTCCCCATGTTTAACACATGAAGCGTTTCTGTAAGTCTGGACATAAATCACCAGTTGGTTCATTTGGTTATAAATAAAAATGTGACTTTACTTCTACAAGAGAACTTGGTTTGGGGAGAAAAAAAACTCAAAACTTAAGCTCAAATTTTGTTTTCTGTCCAAACTTTACCAAAGTTGAAAGAGCACAGGTTTGTAGTAGACATGGACTATTTTAGATGTAAAAATGTGTTTTATCCACCAAACTATATTTATATTTATTTTGAATGTTGCCACATAGTTCCTCTGTTCATACAGAGAAGAAACGTGGTTGATAAAAGTTCAAACAAAAACTCAAGTGGTTTAAGAGCCATTTAAGCTCAAAGCTAGAAGAAAATCACGTTTGGTAATGAAGGCTCATTTTTAAGCTTTTATAATATTTCTGTAGTTTTCACCGTTGGTGCTCAGCAGTTTGCGTACCTCCTGTCTCTTTAATAAGAGGAGAGGTGTGTGAATGGGTGAATGACTGTGTTGTAAAGCGCCTTGGGGGGTCGTAGAAATCTAAAAAGGTGCCATACAAATATGATCTTACTCTCACCTGACATGTTCTGCTGAGGATGTTTGCTCACCACCTTACTCCTTAAACCACACCCGTGTAACCGGCGTCACCTTATGCTGTTTACACGCACACCGTCATCCACGCGCTCTGCTCAGCAGCTGCTTTTCGTCCAGAGCTGACGCAGATTGACAACATTCATGCAAAAGTGGGAGGAGTGTAAGCTCAGCCATGCTCCGTGTTGAAGCTCTAAACTGTCGCGCTCCTTGATGATGTCCTCAGCAGGTGCATCCGGTTAGCCGGTATTAAATAATTCTATATCATAAACCAAAACCATAGTTATATCTTTAACTGTTGTGCAGTACTAGCTCTAATATAACTGGCTTTGGAACCAGGAAGTATGGAGGTGGGACAGATTGTAAACAAAAGTCCAGTTCTAATACCCACACTGCATCCTACAATCCTCTGAAGTGCACTTGGTGGAAGTGCGGGTAAGGCTTCAAGTAAACAAGTGTACAAATATCTGCAGGATTGGGACCGTGAACATTGCATCATCAACTGTGACTTCTTAAATAGGGATGTCCCGTTCGGATATCAATATCAGAAACAGGTCCGATATCGGCCCAAACACGCTGTATCCGATTATATCGGACTGCATCAGAAATCTCTGATATAAACGATTTGAATTTCATTCCAGCAATTCTATCCAGCACGCAAACCCCACATGATCAGAACAGTGTGTGCTAACAAAGTAGCAAAGAACAAGAGTGATGTCGGCCGTGTGGCTGTATTTTTTGTTAGTCTGTAAAAGACGGTGTGGCTCAGCGCCACTTTCCATGCACGCGTTTCCTGTGGTGGAACAGAACCAGGAAAGTTTAATACGTCCAGCCTCGTTGTGTGTTTGAAGCAGCATCACAAAACACTGAGTGAGGACTTTACCACTGTGTGAAATTGAAACTTGGGACACTCAACTTGTAGCAGTTGACCAATAATCTACTGTCATCTCCCGCCTCGATTACTGCAATGCCCTTCTAACTGGTCTTCCAGCCTGTTCGGTGAGACCTCTTCAAATGGTCCAGAACGCAGCGGTGCATGTGGTCTTCAGTCAGCCAGAAAGAGCACACGTCACTCCTCTGTTCATTGAGCTCCACTGGCTACCGCTAGCAGCACGCATCAAATTCAGATTGCTAACACTAGCTAGGGCTGCTCAATTAATCGAATTTTAATCACAATTACGATCTGAGTTTTGAACGATTATAAAACCAAAACAGCCGATTATTTGCTCCTCCCACTCCCTGAGTTGCAAATGAAGCGCTCCTCCCACAGTGTTGCCAACTTGGCGACTTTTCAGACCCCCTTCTTGACTTTTTAAATCTTAAAATTACCTAGCGAACACCTCAAACATCTCTGGTAACCCTTAGCTACTTTCTGGATAACTGTCGTCGACATTTCCTGCAGGTTAGCTAAACACTCCGCCTGCACTCCGGACCGTTCTTCACAACATTAGGAAAGGGAATGATGTAGTGATGTGTCGGTTGCTACAGAAACGGCTCTCAGAGTCGGCTCTGTTGGATTAAACAGAGTGAGTGACACACACACTGCACCTGCGGACTCCTGAGCCACTAAAAACGGCTAATGTGCGCGTGCGGCGCTAAACACACGTGCAGCTTGCCCCGATTGCTGTGAGACCGGGTTGGGGGGTGCAGCTGTGGTTGGGACATTTATTACATTAACTGATGGACTTGTAAATACATAGTTTATAAATAAGGTAGAAATAAGTTCCTCACGCTGATAAATAATAACTAATCTCTCTGAGGACACGGTGCTAATGCACTCTCCTACAGCACCTTGACACGACTAAATAAATGTTACACAACATTTTGTGAACATCATTTTATTTGCATAAATTAGTTATGAATGCCACTGTATAATTCTTGCTGTCAGTATTTGCAAGATATTGGTATTTGGGTCTGTACTGGTTAGACTTAAATGAGTTAAACCAAGGTCTATAGCCCTTGGGTCATAAACTATGAGCTGTAAGTATATTGGTCTTTTTATACTGGGAAACAGGAGTTATTTTAATGATCATCTTGTTTCTTATTATTGTCCTGATTGTGCCCTGAGCAATTTTATGACTGAGTAAAAACAAATAAAATCTACTTAAATTGAAAAATCGTCTTAAATAATCGAGATCTCAATTTCAGTCACAATAATCGTGATCATTATTTTTGCCATAATCGAGCAGCCCTAACACTAGCATACAAAGTCCAAGATGGTACGGCTCCCATCTACCTGAATCCTCTTGCAAAGGCTTACGTCTCGGCCCGGCCGCTCCGGTCATCAAGGGATCGTCGGCTAGCAGTGCCTACACCACGCTCAGGACAATCCAGACTCTTCTCATGCATCGTTCCACAAATGTGGAATGACCTTCCAAGCACCACCAGAACAGGGGCTTCCTTTTCAATTTTCAAGAAACTCCTGAAGACCCTGCTCTTCAGAGAGCATCTTCTAAACTAGCACCTTCCCTGCACCCCCCCCCCTCTCTCTCTCTCTCTACTGTCCACTCCTTGTTCCCTCCTCTCCATGACTGATGTCAAGTTGTTGTTGTTATTGTTGTTGTTAGCCTCAAGGGCAACATGCCGATTATCACTTGTAAGTCACGTTGGACAAAAGCGTCTGCTAAATACATAAACATAAATAAAATCTATTTTTTCCCTATGTCTCTGCCCTCAGCTGTTCCTACCATTTGCTGACAGTAAAACATAACTGGAGTGACCTTGAATTAGTATTTTGCACTTTAAAAATAAATCTTTGAAAAATACTTTAAGTGAATAAATAAACAGTCTTAATTTATTATTTATTCTTTTATTCATTTGTTATACATTATCTATAAGGTTTATATGTATGCAACCAATGGTTAATAAAAAAACGGTCGGTTTTTCATACTTACTGTTATTGGCTCTTGTTTTCCGATTGAGTAATATCACTTGATCAAGTCGTTCATATAATCCACACCATAAAATAGGTAAAAGTACATGTGATTTGTGCTGATTTCGTATCGGATTGATATCGGTATCGGTCAGTGATGAAGGCTGCAATATCGGTATCGTATCAGAAGTAAAAAAGTTGTATCAGGACATTCCTATTCTTCATGGTTTGTGCCTATTTACAGCTTGAAACTATATTAAAACTGAATTATAATAAATCAAGTGGTTCATTTACTGGCATGTTGTTTCAGAAAATACACACCAGTACAGTTATTGGTTAACGATGTTTCACAACAGAGAAACATTTGGTTGTAGTCATACATCTTCACAATAATAAAATATTCAATATTTCGGTAACTATACTTGCAAATGCATATTTTCAGAAAGAGCCATTTCTCTGCCTTCTTCTCAAAATTCCTACACGCAATGGATTGTGGGCAATACCCTTCACTAAAGTCTGCACTGACGCAGGCTTCAGCAAAGTGTGGATCAACTGTGCAAAAAAGGCGGGATCTAGAGCCACACTTGAGGATCGGGACACCCAGTTCGCTCACAACTGGACGAGAATGCGCAATTCAGTGGTGCAAGTGTGGATGTGTGAGTGACGTGGCAGGGCCATAGACTACGTCCCGCTGAGAAGAAAATCTGTTTCAGTATAAACTTCATTCCAACATGATGGAGACACAAATTCTTACTTATTGCACCTTTAAAAGCTCACACAGAAAATGATGTTTCACCAAAGGCAGCTTAGACCCACAGATCTCAGAGGAACCACAAGGCCACTGAACACACGAGGAATCTGTTCTCTCAAGCATTTGAAACTCAGTAAAACATTAACAAAGTTGTAGAAGTTCATGTTCAGTTGTTTGAGAACGGGCAGTGATTAAATCTAACCACGTTTTTAGAGAACTGATGGTTGATGATGCTATTTGAGATCAGCAGGTGCCTTAATTAAGACTATTTAGTAGAAAATCTATAAATAGTCTAAATGTTTGTAGGGTAGCATTTCAGATTTTCCAGATAATCCAGAATATGACCCACCTCTTCCATTTATTTACCATTACTCCTAAATGCGACCCTAATGGAGGAGCAAACTGGAACTTTTTTTATGGGGCTGGGCGTCTGAAGAGAATAAATAACCTCCCTTTAATCCCCAGCCTCCACTTGGCTAATAGGTAAGCTCAACCCACCTCTCCACAGTTGGACACGCTTCATGAGGCGGTGCAGCTCAGCTGTGCTGTCTGCTCAACTTTTAATATCTAGGCGGGTAAAGCGGCTTTTATTTACATGTTTCCGGTCAGGCACGTTAAATGATTAGACCCGAAAATGCCAATCAGAGCCGAAGACTTGAGAGGAGCTTCTAGGCGACGATACAACGGGAAAAGTCGCGACGGAAAGTGAGCAACAGGTAGGAGACGCTCATCAAATCAAGCCAGCTGGAGGAAGAGCGGAGTTTCCGGTTGGAGTTTCAAAAATAAATGCACACGTATTGTGAATTTATGAAGAATAACGGCTCTAATACTTTTCTCTTGTGTGTGTTGACATAGTAAATATCAAGTACTAGTCTAAACTTACCAAACAGCATAAGTCCTTAAGTTTGAGATATACTTGGCAAGGGTTTGTGTGTAAATGTGTATTTGAAAATTTAAAGGAAAATAATTATATACTTTAATTTGAAGCAAAAATATAAAAAGTTTCAAAATGTTGTATTGTTTAGTCAAGTAATGAAAAAAGTCATCTCAGATATTTACTCTAATGGAGTAGACCCTTTGATTTTATTTTGAAGCTCAGTGGCGTTTCCGGTTTTTGTAACTATGTAGAAACTACTTCTAAAGTAAGTGCGACAAATGTTCAAAAGTCAAATGTTTACAGCAAAACGTGCTTTCTTTCGTTTGGAGAGAATGGGGTTAGGTTTCATCAGTGATTGGTTTTGTCGATCGAATGTAAGGATTTTTAAGTAAAGCTGCAATTTTTTTAATTAGACTATTACAAACAACCGCTTTTACAGCTTGTCTACAAAACTATTTTTACACAATGATATTTTCTCAAATGTCTGTTTATCCTCTTGTGTCAGTAAACTGTAAACAGTACTTATTTCCCTTCCCTTAATCTTCAGATAGATTAACATTTGGAGCCTTTCACACACCTCTGTCATCAAAGGCTGTTTTGAATTATGTGCACAATGGGGAGGTTATTTCAGGAGACCTCTAACAGTGCAGACAGAGCACACCAGAGTCCAAAGGATGGACTTCTGCTGCTGTTTCATGGACTGTCTGTAAATTACAACACTGCCAAATAAAGTTAATATGCAACAATTATGGGGACAAAACACACAAAGGAACCAATCAGATCACAATGCTGCTAAGAGGTGTAACACTATCCTGAGAAAAAGGTCCCTGCTTTACATTCACATCATTTCTGTTTATTTTGTATGCACGCAATCCTGCGCTGATGTTGTAGGCCACATACAAGAGAAACTATGCAAACAACTTAAGTAAAACTCACCTCTAGCTTCTCATATTTAACCTTTTCCTCTGTAGTCAAAATAAACAGGAAATTATCAAGCTGGGGTTTATTAATCTACTTTCCACATTGGTGGCCATGACTGGGCAGACTAAGCTGCTGTAATCCCTAACATTTGTTTGTGCGTTACACCTTGGATCCATCTAGGTAAAACATCCGGGTGTTCTGTAAACTGGTTGGTGCAGCTCATGGTGACAGGGTGGAAGATGTAGCCACAAAATGGGCTTTGGCTTCAATGGTGAAACTTTATATCATGTGCATAAATAACAGCAATGACATGGTTTCCTGGAGGCTGCATGGACGTGTGTGTGTGTGTGTGTGTGTGAGAGAGTGAGTGAGTGAATGAGTGAGACTGTTCTTCAACCACCTGAGTGACTAACACCCCTAACAAGATTACACTTTATTGGATCGGAGGACATCTTGTGACAAAGCAAAATGTTGGTCTCCTGAGACGAAAAAGAACGTAATGAAGGATAGGCAGACAAACGTGTGTGTGTGTGTGTGTGTGTGTGTGTGTGTGTGTGTGTGTGTGTGTGTGTGTGTGTGTGTGTGTGTGTGTGTGTGTGACTCCACTGGCAGGCTGATTGTTGAATTCCCAGATTTTCACAAGCTTTTTTTTTTCTTCAAATTCCTGGGAAGCAGTCTCTTTCACTGTTGGAAACACAAGCTGTTAAAGTCTGAGTTCTCCATGACCAGCATGCTAATGGGGTGGGCTGGCTGTGAGAAAATCACAGAATTTAGTCAACGTCAGGCAACCATTTAGTACAACTTCTATTAGATTTACTCTGTCTGACTGGATTTAAAAGGCTGAAATGTCTTCATGAAGGCTGCGCTCACACACTGGAGGCAAAAGTGACCCAAATCTGACATATTTGTTAATTTGTGACCTCTGCATCTCTGGGCAGCACAAACCTCAGATGCAGGTCACTTTCATACCTAGTCTTGTGTTTTTCAGCATGTTCTCAGTTTGATTATGACCTGAGCCTTTGTTATTGTAAATTTGAGGATTAGAAACTGAAGTAATGAAATTATGGGAAGACCAATGTAGAGGGTACATGTATCCAAATTGTGCCCTTGAAGGCAAAAATGTCACTCTAATGTAACTTTATTTAGTCTGGCATCAGAGCAGTGGCAGGTGCCAGGTAAAACAGCAGATCCCAAAGATGTGATGCATTCACGGACACTTCTGTAGGTTCCAAAACATTGGAAATATTTGTCATGCATTCACGGACACCCCAAAAAACACAGGATGCATCTGTGATGCATTCATGGACACTACCATAGATTCCAAAAAACACAGGATGCATCTGTGATGCATTCATGGACACTACCATAGATTCCAAAAAACACTGGATACATCTGTGACGCATTCACAGACACTCCAAAAAATGCTGGATATGTCTGTGATGCATTCACGGGCACTCTCATTGATTCCCAAAACAGTGGATATATCTGTGATGGATTCACGGACACTTAAAATCACTGGATACATCTGTGATGCATTCACAGACACTCCTGTAAATTCCAAAAAAATTGTATATATCGGTGATGCATTCACAGACACTCTTAAAAACACTGAATATTTTTGTGAGGCGTTCATGGACACTCGTAGATTCCAAAAACACTGCATATATCTGTGATGCATTCATGGACACTCCCTTGAATTCCAAAAACACTGGATATATCTGTGATGCATTCGCGGACACTCAAAAAAACACTGGATATATCTGTGATGCATTTGCGGACACTCAAAAAAACACTGGATATGTCTGTGATGCATTCATGGACACTCCCGTAGATTCCAAAAACACAGGATACATCTGTGATGCATTCACAGACACTCTTAAAAACACTGAATATATCTCTGAGGCATTCATGGACACTCCCGTAGGTCCCAAAACATTGGATATATATGTGATGCATTCATGGACACTGGATATATCTGTGATACATTCACTGACACTCCCATGAATTCCAAAAACATTGGATATATCTGTGATGCATTCATGGACACTGGATATATCTGTGATACATTCACTGACACTCCCATGAATTCCAAAAACATTGGATATATCTGTGATGCATTCATGGACACTCCAATAGATTCCTAAAACATTATATCTGTGATGCATTTACAAAAATAAGTTAATTTCAATTATGTTAATAAAAAGATTCTTACATCTACAAACACCCAACAGGTAATGATGACATATTTCTGAGTTCCTCAGCTCTGCTTGGCTTTATGTTTTTGTTTAATTCTCCTATCGGTCGTGTATGTTTACTTAAACCAGTCCTTCGGGGTCGTGAGTCTGATTCTGTGTTGTGGTTAAAAGTTTACAAATCATTCAGGTGAAAGTTCACTCTGAGGGTTTGTTATGAACTTGTTCTAAGTCTAAAAGTTGTTCTTAAAATCAAGTGAAGGTTTTTTTGGATCTAAATGCTAAAAATGATCCAAGTGCTGCCTGTACCTGCTGATTAACCTGACTAGACCCACTGGTTCCCACCCTTATCTGTTACAAAAGCCTTTCACGTCTCATTTAATCCTGTGTGACCACAGATACCCAGTCAGATCTCCCGTCTAGCATCAGAAAGCTCCTGTTGTTTGAACAGGTCAGCAGCTGACGTAAAGCTTCTGGCCAATTAGAGATAATACACTGGAAAATGCATGCAGGTGCCTAGTTCCATCAGCACCTGTAATTATGGTGGAGCAGGTGGTAACGACTTCCCTCAACCCCAGAGGACAGCACGGCGACAGGGTGTGCAAGCTCGAGAAGCAGGAAAAATAATTAACATGAAGGTGAATGATGCATTTGATGCACATTTGATTTAAATAAGATTTCTGACGGGGAACTTAATCTGACTTTAGGTTCGCACCAGACAGTAGTTCACCTGGATTTTAATCACTCTGTTCTCGCTGCAGATGGAGATTGCTGTGCTTGTTTTTTTCCCTCTCACTGCAAACGATTTGCTGCTCTCCAAGTCGAGCTGCATGCAAAACAGTTTCTGCGAACCCAGAAAATGACACCAGGCCACATAATCCATCACAGAAAACGCAGCACCAAACAGGGATTTGGGTCTTTTTTTTTATCCCAGTAAACAGCGCTGATTGTTTACTGGTGTCTTGTTCACGCTTTGCTGATCTTCTAAATTATTGCCCATGAGAACATGATGTGCGCCTCACCTTTAACAACTTCTCTTTGTTTTTTTCTTCTTTTGCAAACCCGCTGAGGTTGTGTTTCAGGAGACATTTGGTGCTGCTGAGATGTTTCCAGTGAATTTTTTTTATAATATTTTTCTTAACCCTAAGCAAAACATCAGGTCAGCCATCTGTACAATCTCTGAGGTGCTGTGTGTGTGCATGCATGTGTGTGTGTGTGTGGACATCTGTGCAGGAGTACACACTGACCCCATTTTCAGCAGCATGTGAACACAACTTTATTTAGCTAAGTATCTCGTTCTAATGTACTGCAGACACGCTGAATCAGATATTTATTATTGCATCATTGTTGATTTTTGAGACAGAGTCCACTTGTTTGTCCCGCAAACCAACCAGGAAGTGCTCTCTTTGAAGCCAGACGTGGAGACAAAAAACAAACAGTTTTCACCTGTGCATGTGTGTGTGTGTGTGTGTGTGTGTGTGTGTGTGTGTGTGTGTGTGTGTGTGTGTGTGTGTGTGTGTGTGTGTGTGTGTGTGTGTGTAAGTTGAGCTGCCTGCTGTTAAAAGAATTGTGTGTTTGTGTACCCAGGGCCAGGAGCATGACTGAGCAGCAGGAGCAGGGTGAAGTAACAGGCCTCTTCTCAACGCCAGACCTGGATCCCTCCAAAGACGATGACACGCACGGCCACTTCAGGCAAACCTCACACACACACACACACACACACACACACACACACACACACACACACACACACACACACACACACACACACACACACACACACACACACACACACACACACACACACACACTTGCAGCTTTGGTGTGTTTTCTTTCTCTTTTCTCCACACACACCATCTGTATCCTGTGTGTGGTCATGGGTTGCAGCCCTAAGAGATTTATTTTCATAGCACTCATTTTGTTCGGTATTTGATGTCAGAAAATGGTCTAAGTCGCACACAAAGAGGCTGCAAACACAAAGAGGGCTTGTATTGTCCCCTCCGAGGCCCCAGAGAAGATCTACTGTAAATGTCTGCCCATTGTTGTGCTTCATTAGTCGTAATAAAGAGGCAACATTTGGGTCCAAATCTTCACAGACACATCTCTGTCTGTTACATAAGAGGGATTGGAGGCAGGAGCAGCGTGATCCTGCAGAATCTGTTCTGGGATGGGACTGATCACGGAAGCATGGCGTGTTGGTAAACTCGGTGAATGGGGGGGGGGGGGGGGGGGACTAAACACTTGGTGCACATGTCAGTTTTGATCTAGTTGAATTCTGTGAGCATCCCCTCACATCCACACTACTCTGCTGCTGCTATGTGCAACATTTTAGGAAGGAGAGGTGAGCTGCATGGTGGGGAACATAGTTAGCAGGAGGCTGGTCTGGGGTCAGAACTAAAAGATGATCAGATAAATTAAGATGTCTGCCAGTTTGCTTTCTCTTCTACTGCGGTCATTGGTGTGGCTGCTACAAAGTCAGACTGAAGTGATATTTGGGGTGACGTTGGCAGAGGAGTTAGTGGGGCAAAAAAGTATTTAGTCAGCCACCGATTGTGCAAGTTCTCCCACTTAAATTGATGACAGAGATCAGTAATTTTCATCATACGTACACTTCAACTGTGAGAGACAGGATGTGAAAAATGATCCATGAATTCACATGGCAGGATTTTTAAAGAATTTATTTGTAAATCAGGGTGGAAAATAAGTATTTGGTCAATAACAAAAATTCAACTCAATACTTTGTAACATAACCTTTGTTGAAAATAACAGAGGTCAAACGATTACTCTAGGTATTTACCAGGTTTGCACACACAGTAGCTGGTATTTTGGCCCATTCCTCCATGCAGATCTTCTCGAGAGCAGTGATGTTTTGGGGCTGTCGCCGAGCAACACGGACTTTCAACTCCCTCCACAGATTTTCTATGGGGTTGAGGTCTGGAGACTGGCTAGGCCACTCCAGGACTTTCAAATGCTTCTTACGGAGCCGCTCCTTTGTTGCCCGGGCGGTGTGTTTGGGATCATTGTCGTGTTGGAAGACCCAGCCACATTTCATCTTCAAAGCTCTCACTGATGGAAGGAGGTTTTGGCTCAGAATCTCACGATACATGGCCCCATTCATTCTGTCCTTAACACGGATCAGTCGTCCTGTCCCCTTAGCAGAAAAACAGCCCCAAAGCATGATGTTCCCACCCCCATGCTTCACAGTAGGTATGGTGTTCTTGGGATGCAACTCAGTATTCTTCTTCCTCCAAACACGACGAGTTGAATTTATACCAAAAAGTTCTACTTTGGTTTCATCTGACCACATGACATTCTCCCAATCCTCTGCTGCATCATCCATGTGCTCTCTGGCAAACTTCAGATGGGCCTGGACATGCACTGGCTTCAGCAGCGGAACACGTCTGGCACTGCAGGATTTGATTCCCTGCCGTTGTAGTGTGTTACTGATGGTGACCTTTGTTACTTTGGTCCCAGCTCTCTGCAGGTCACTCACCAGATCCCCCCGTGTGGTTCTGGGATTCTTGCTCACCGTTCATGATCATTTTGACCCCACGGGATGAGATCTTGCGTGGAGCCCCAGATCGAGGGAGATTATCAGTGGTCTTGTATGTCATCCATAATTGCTCCCACAGTTGATTTTTTTCACACCAAGCTGCTTGCCTATTGTAGATTCACTCTTCCCAGTCTGGTGCAGGTCTACAATTCTTTTCCTGGTGTCCTTCGAAAGCTCTTTGGTCTTGGCCATAATGGAGTTTGGAGTCTGACTGTTTGAGGCTGTGGACAGGTGTCTTTTATACAGATAATGAGTTCAAACAGGTGCCATTAATAAAGGTAACGAGTGGAGGACAGAAAAGCTTCTTAAAGAAGACTTTACAGGTCTGTGAGAGCCAGAGATTTTCCTTGTTTGAAGTGACCAAATACTTATTTTCCACCCTGATTTACAAATAAATTCTTTAAAAATCCTGACATGTGAATTCATGGATTTTTTTTTCACATTCTGTCTCTCACAGTTGAAGTGTACCTATGATGTAAATTACTGAACTCTGTCATCATTTTAAGTGGGAGAACTTGCACAATCGGTGGCGGACTAAATACTTTTTTGCCCCACTGTAAGTGTCCACCCTGTAAGCGGAGGGTTGCAAGTTTGAGCCCCATCTGTTGCAGTCTATGTGCCCATGAGCAAGACATTTTAACCCACTTTGCCTGCTGGTGGTGTTTGGAGGGACCGGTAGCGCCAGTGTTTGGCACGCTCACTTCTGCCAGTGCGCCCCAGGGAAGCTGTGGCTACAATGAGGCTCATCACCACCAGTGTGTGAATGTGTGTGTGCATGGGGGGAATGCCGATTGTGTTGTAAGTTTCTTAGGGGGGTTCTAGGACTCTAGAAGGTGCTATATCAAATGCAGGCCATTACCTTTTTAGCACCTTTCAAGATAATAATCGTGAGGTTCTTCACAAGCATAATAAAAGGCTCTCGTAATTAATTGTCGGTATAGCGTTTATTTCACGCAATATTGCTTCTTGAGTCGCTCTTCCACAAGGGGCTGAGCTGTAGCGGTTGTGCTAAGCTAGCTCCGCGTCATGGGAATAGTGACGCGCGCTCTGTGTTGGTAAAACGACACAGCTTCAGACCTGGTCTGGAATAAACCAAAAATCAATCAATCAAAGCTTTATTTATAAAACGCCTTCCGCAACCCTGTCAGGAAGCCCAAGGCGCTGAACATGGTACAGTAGAAGGTAAATATATTGAATAAATCAAAAATAAAAGCAATTCAAATTACAAAATACAAATTACAAAAAAGGTGAAACATTCTGGTACAGGACAAATGTGTAAAACAATGGATAGATTGAACCAATGAAAACTGTGAAATAAATTCAACATAAAAGAGGGCCAAAATCAAACATGTCCAGGAAACGCCAAGCGGAGGAGGTATATCTCCGGTATTAACTTCAAAATCAAGTCCGGAATTTGCATCGTAAATGTTTAATAATCTTCAGCTGATCAGGTCGTATTATGAATTTAGCTCTGTGCGGCGTCGGAGTTTCTCTGATCCGAGTCACACACAAGCGTAAACAAAAGTGACAGCATCACACAAATAAACGTGACAAAATCAGACAGTTTAACCCACATTCACTTACTTTTAGGAGTTTAAATGGAGTTGAAAGCAAACGCTTATGAACAACACAGACTTGGTTGTGAAGAGCGAGCCCTCTTCACCTCCCCTGGCTGTCAGCCAGGAGAGAGGGAAAAGAGAGGATGGAGCTGTCACAGCTCAGCTTTTAAAGGGTTATACTGTTGAAACAATTACCACGAAGTGTCATGATATAAATAAGACGGGCTGGCTGCGCCATTATGTAGAGGGATAATATGTTGCTTTTAAGCTTAATATACTACCTTTATTTATGACCAATAAGATGTGATATTCTGTATAAATATATGATATCAACCTGATTGATCTTTGAATGTTTAATCACAAGAATTAGGATTCTTTGCTTTATCAGTGGTCATGGTCCACTCCGTATTAATTCAGACAGAGTCAGGGATATAATTAAAAATAAACTTTATTTTCTAGACTATTTATATACCTGACAAGCTATAAACAACTTTATGTGGTGGATGAATATAAGTGGATGGAAAGTGTTGTATGATGATGGAATGATGTGTGATGTTTACCAGAACCTTTGTATCTGAAAGAAATGATGAATTCTGGTCGTAAGAACTGGTGGTTGTTATAAGCTAAAGATTTGATTTATCAAAACGGCATCAGACGCAATTCATGTCGTGCCCTACGTACCTGTTCCTGGAGACCCCCGTTTGGATCCAAGATGTCAAGGAGTCGGTGACCCCAATGCACGTGGCTCATAGGAAAACCTCGATGCGACCAAGTCAGTCCTAGTATGCCTCCGGGTCACAACGATAGAGGAAATTGTTTGCGTATAGAACGGCTGTTTCTGAATAGCTGATGGAGCAAGTTTCTGTGTCGTTGCAGGCAGCTTTTGGCTTGTCGAAAGCCTTGATGGTTCAGAGTCCCTTTAGGATTGGCCACTCCGAAGGTGTACCGAACTCGAACTGAGCTTGAACTGACTCGCTCAGGAAGTGAGTTCTGTTTAATAATTCTTATACTATGATTGCATGGCCAATCGGGACGTGTCTTGTTAAGAGGTGTTAACAAACAACCCTTAGAACATCATGCATTCTTTCAGATAGATTTGTGGATCAGAAGATATTGATGTGAATGAAATTACTTTAACCTTATTATCTTGTCATGTGTATGAGTGGATGGCTGATTAGCTCGTCACGTAGACTGATTACCAGACAAATGTTGACAATGTCGTGATCCCGAGATGTCAACATGCACTTGCAGAATCTTTTCTTGCAGCTTGGAATATTAGATAGGAAGACACACAGAGACGGATTAATGTCTGAAGATGACCTGTCTCTGAAAAGGCCAAAATAGATGAAAAACTGACCATTTCTGGACGCTACAATAGAAACAAAAGAGTTTACAACTTTCATGAATTTTAGCAGATTAAACATTCTTTTTCATGTGAAATCTGCTTTTTTGTAACTCATGGTCAAAAGCATCATTCAGAGTTGTCTGGGCTTGTCTGCACTCCTTTGTTTAACAGAGAATTCCTACTTTAAAATGATCCTCATTATAATTTTAACTTTTTTTCATCCAAACGTGTTCAA